ATATATATTCCAACTATTTTTACGGAATTTTTGTGGCACTTGTAGCTAGAGGAATACCTTTCCTGGCATCAAGTGTGCTCACAAGGATCTACAAGAGGAAACTTATGTGGTTTGTTTAATGCAGAAAAATCACAGAGAAACACAGAAATCAGAGAGGGAGAGTAACAGGTAAGTAGAAGGGGAGTGGTTCAGAGAACCAATCAGACAGCAGAAGATACCAGAAGAAGGAAGATAACTAGGCAGATGACTTACTGTTAGGAGGTGATAACACTGGTGAGTGGGAAAACATCCTAAGAGTGAGGGATCTGTGTGTCCTGGGTGATATGAGTGGTTGTGGCTGGTTCTGGCCGGGCGTTTAGAATTCTCATTGAGTTCTATGTTAGAGATGGGTGAGCTTCAAATTGAATATCGTTAAATTTGGTGAATCAAACTTAGAAATAACTAATCATCAACATTGAAAATGAAAGGCATGCAGCACAATCACACTACACCTTATGTATTGTAAATGGGTACAAAAATATGGAGAATCCTGTAGCAAGAATTGTGTTTTATAATAAAAACTCTATGAAGGTGAAAATAAAAGAATTGGAATTTTATATTTACAATTGAAGCCTTTTGGGAGTCTTACTATCTTGTCTCTAAGGCTGAAAATGGGTTAGGCACCACCAAGGAGGAGCAAGCGGACCTGCAGGTTTTAAGATCCTTCTGCATGCCCAGACAATGAATCTTGCTAGTAACTTTTGTACCACAAGAAACATTCTTGGAGAAGATTTGGAATCCACCCCCAGCTCCAAATATCTCAATGTGTCAGCCTGATGTCAAGGATAAGTCCTTCTAGCCACAGGAGATGCAAGCTATTAAAAAAATTAAGGAGATGACTCCATTGGGAAGTTTTGGACAAGTGGACTGGATGTTTGGGGTGGTATCCAATGGTATTGGAATTAATAAAGAAGAATAGACAAACAAATAATAGAATAAAATTTATCTTTGAGTGATTTTCCAGAGTGGCCTGTTGGGCAGGGGTGGTTTGGATCACTCTTAAAGGTGCTTTGCCACAAGTGCGGAGGACTGACCTTTGCACAAAGAAACTGGGGCCTGTATAACAGGGGTTTTGATTCCAGTAGAAATAGAGTTAATGTGGATATTTCAGAGGAGGGTTATTACTCACTAGTAAAGGGAACTCTCTCAGAGCTCCAGGAGGTTGATTGATGTTGCAGGGGAGATTCAGACAAGTAGAAATGAGGACTATTGATGTTCTTGCTGGTTGATAACAGGTGGAACTGAATGGTGCCGATTTTGTATGAAGCTTGGGGAAATAATTATGGGGGAAAGAAAGCCTGCATAAATATTATTTGAGGGCTCCCTTGTGATGCTCTAACTTTTCTAGAAACCTTGTGTTTATCCTGGCCTTGGCTGGCTGTGTTGTACTAGCCAGGTTGGGGTGGGTATTACTAGTGCCTAGCCAGGGTTTCACCAGTTATGGTCTATGCCAAGCCACTTGGCCTACATGTTTCCAGGTTGCAGGTAAGCCCTTCTGCCACTTTATTCCCAGTAGGCTCTCTACTGTTTCTAAGCTCTTTATTTATCATCAAACAGCTTTGAAGTAGTGGTTTGGGCTCAGTATTAGATCCCAATTGGTTATGGCGCAGGACAGGTCCTTTTGGGCATCCAGGCGCCTCACCTATGTTTATATTTTTAATGCACTTTTTCTTTTTAAATGAGGCATGAGAAAGCAATATCTTTTTGTTTAGTAATTTTTCCTTTATAATGAGATTTCTTGTGATGATTTATCTCTTATTATATTTGTTAGTTGGCTCTAAAATAGTAGCCAGTTGACGCAATGTCTTCCAATCAGCTAAGTCCTCCAGAATCCGAATCCAAGGGCCCCAATGGGCCTTCAACTGGCCAACGAACCTCTGAAGATCATCGAACCGACGTCAAACGTGATGGAATCCCTTCGGGCTGTGATGATCACCGTCTCTCATCAATTGATCCAAATCTCGTTTGACTTTTCCTTCTAAGATCTCAGTACTATCTTTGTTTTTTGTTCCTCACGATTGTTTCTTTTTCTTCACAATCACCAATGTCCACTTATCCCTCTTTATGCTTTAGTCATGGGGCCTGGGCTACACATCTCTGTTGAACCCGGTCGAATTCAAGAAGAAAAGATTAGAATACTCCAAGGAAATTCCTCAAATGATCGACAGAAAAAAAAAATAAGAAACAATGCGTGTGGAGGATGTATTCATCAACCAAGGAGACCACCAAGCAAGCCGTTTCCGCCACCCTGTCCTCCGCCGTTTTGACCGCCGCCGAGGATACCGCCGAGCAAGCCCCCGCCAGATCCTCCGCCGAGGATTCCGCCGAGCAAGCCCCCGCCGGATCCTCCGCCGAGGATACCGCTGAGGTTAATTCCGATGTTCGCGAACAGATCGATATTAAGACCAAGTCCACTGAGGATGCCACCCAGATCGATCTTGAGGATCCCGGCGATCGAATGACAGAAGCCCCCGAATGAGCTCATCTGTTTGAACACGGCTGTTTAAAACACATTTATTTTATGAAGGTGAGCCAATATGCCTCCGAGTTTCTCATGAGATCAAATCGCTGCAGATTTTGAACGCACGAGCAAATTGCGAATTCCATTGAGAGCCGTAGACCTGTTGACCAGTGGTGATAATGGATTGGAAGGATGTATACATCTCCGTGACGGATTGCTTGAATTGAGTCTGTGGGAGGGAGCAAGGTAATGCGTGATGTGAATCAGTAAATCAGGCCGAAGATTCGGGGGCTCAATCTAAGAATCGAGCAAGAAGCGCCGGAGTCCCACCTGGAAACCGCTTTGTGCCAATCCGGTGCTGCAGGCGCTGCAGGCTTGGAACTGATCGTATGCCGCTTGGTAGCTCTGCTGGAGCGTTTGGACGGATTGGTAAGCAACAGTCACAGATGATTGCTGCTCAAAGACCGTTCGAGTTTGTGTGAATGACTGAGACAGGGATTGCCAGCTGGACATAAACATTTCGGTCGAGCTGGACGAGCTGGATGACTGAGATGAAGTTAACGACGCTTGGCGCGCCGAGAGTGTCGGATGCCCCATTCCGGGGACAGCATGCACGCCAGATGAATAAACTGGTTAATTTTCAATCGAGAGGTCAGTAAATAGTTTAATCCCGGCGTCACGGCCTTGCGGGTAAGCCACATAGGACAAGACTTACTAGAAACTAGTAAGAGGAGCATGGACAAAGTATTGGAAAACATGGTGAAATGAGTTGACTGGCGATAACTTTGCTGGAGAGGAGGTTATTGGCTACTGAGCAGAGCCGGCCTGGGGCGAAGGACAGCATTTATTTTGACGCCTTGGAAGTATGAAGGACATGACCATTGGACCGGATGAAGACGACGAGGAACAAAAACACGCAGCCAAATTGATACCCGTCAATCCAGTCCCGTCACCGCGGAAAAATGACAGTTAATGCCTGTCGCTTGCCAAACTGTGGCCACGAAAGCATTTGGATTCTCATCACTAAGTTCAAATTTACCTTGAGAGCGGAGTTGCCCATTGATTTCCATTGCATTCTCCCACATGAGATCACATTTGAATTAATTTTTATCGGCCTGGGTTGGATTTGGCATCTGCAGGCTGCGGATGCCAAATCAGATGATCGGTGTGGAATGAGCGCGAGGGGTGCTTCGCGCCTTCCACAGGCCCTCCGATCGAGGAGGGACGGGAATGCCTTCAGCTTATGCGACAATTGAAACTAACAACAATATTTCCCCACAGGGACCTTAATACTTTGCGTACTATGTGTTGGAGTCCTCCAAGGATCTAAACTTGAATCTTAAACCACATTTCTCATCCCGAAACCTAATCTTGTTAGACCTGAAAGCTTGTTTACTGCGCCGCACCCGCTTGTGTTGAGTCTTCACGCCTGATACGCCCGCTCCGGTTTTTCTCTTTTCCTCACCGAGTATGAAGACCGGAACCGAGCGTGCCAGAGCTGACCGACGACGCATTTATTGTCGTCAGATTTGCTCTATTATACTATGCCGTCACTTTCTTTGCTACTCCCTGAACGTAACTATGCACGATGGTCGCCTAACTGTTGTAGGCTTTTGGTAATGATGAATCTTGTTTAATTGACTTTCACTAATTACATGAGATGCCCAGTGACTGTGTTTTTTAGGTAGTGTACAGTTTCAGTCGTTCACAGCTTATGGTGGGACGCGTAGGACCAGGGCTAGTGGTGATGATGTTTTCAAGCAAAATAGCGAGGCAGGTGCGCAACAATTTGTCTGTGGGGTGGCCCAAAAGTGTGGTCAATATGGGGGTCGAACCCATGACATCCGCATGTTCACCAGCTGCCAACGTGGGGGTTATTAGTACGGCGCTCTAACCAACTGAGCTAATCGACCGCGGATATCCGGCGGGCCAGTTTTTACCATTATAATTTTGTAGTTCATCAGAACAGGCTGACCAAAGGGTAGAGTTCAAATTAATTCCCAAGGGCATCCTTGGAATGTTGATTTTATTTCAATCCGTTAAAGGTTTGGGGGTGAAAATTCCCAAAAAAAAGTATGAAAAAACACCTGCATGCTGGGATTAACAGAAATAGACAGAGCGGTCCCACAAAAGATGTTCAATGATGAATTCTGTTTTTTTTTTTTTTGGGATGGGAAGTTTAGCTGAAGGGGAGAGCTTCATCAGCTTGAAAGATTGCTAGGGACATTTTTTGTTTGGGTGACTGATGCCAAAGAGATAACTGCACGGCCTGGCTATTTTGATTCCAAGTGAGAAAGAGGGACTTGACAAAGGAATAAAATCAGTCACATAATGTCAAGGGAAATACATGGAGGGATTTCAACCAGAAATACATAATCTGCCCCACATAAAAAATAAATTGGCCAGCTGGGGGTTTTAGGTTGCTGTCAAGTCCTCCAGTCATCTGCACCACTCCAATGGACAATGTAACAGAATTTTCTTTCTTCGGGAAAAGGCACCAATGGGTTATATATAAAGCCTCATCTCTCTTAGCTTCACAGCAAAAATCAAATTTTAGGACTATGTTCTTGTAACATTGATATATAAGCATGGTTAGAGATGGCTGCATCCCTTGGCCCTTGTTCTGCACATGTATAATTATCTGCAAGATATTTTAGATATTGTTGTAGAATGAGACATCCAGTGCTTTTTTTGTCTCCAATTGTCATGACACTTTGAACATTGAGCCGCACCCAATGTCGAGGCGAAAAGATCCTATTATGGGCGCTCCCTGTGGCACCATAGTCTGTGATGTAAATTTCACAGCTGGACACAATCGGGCCAAAGAGAGAATTACGCTGGGTGGCGGTGTGGGGCTGGATGATGAAGGTTGGTTGTCCTATAAGGGTGAATGAAGGCGATCATATCCCAAGTTTATTCTTCATTGTTCAAGATATGCACCGCAGTTTTTTTGTGGAGCGTACAAACTACAGACCCCCGACAACTCGAAGCGCCATTTGACCCGGGAGAGCAGACTGGTGAAGTTTACGGCTTCTTGTAGGGTTTTTCCTGTTTTCTCAAGGTTTGAATAACGGCGATTTGCACTGTAAACCCATAATCCGACCTTTAAACTGCCCTTATTCGTTTTGTCCAGTTTTGTCCGCCCCAGGTTTCTTTTTGGTTTTGTTTTTGTTTGGTCGCCGCAGCCTGCAACCACATAAACACTGACAATTCTCCTGTTAACCACTTCGTCATCGAAAAACACAACCGACTCACAAAAAAATAGTCAACAGCGAATCACAGCCAGCGAACAACTTACTCCGAGCAAGTAACTTCAAGGAAAACATGGTCAGCCCCCCTCTCTCCTCTCTTGATCAGGTTGGAGCAGTTCCTGGTAGTCGCTTACTGAGCTCATTCTTCGTGCATATAAAAATGTAAACCAGGGTCAAACACTTTCAGAACCGATCATCGAAAAGCATACCAGTTCAGGTGAAGATGAAGAATTTGCCTTCGGCGTCTCGGAGATGCAAGGCTGGAGATTAAGTGGGTTTCCAGCTTGTTGCCATTCCAGACCTCACCATGTTCCAAACATATATACCTTCAATTCGAACCGTTGAAAAAAAAATCCGATGACTTGCCTATCATCAAGCACCTTTCACCTGAGCTGACAATTGCTGGGCTCGTTTCTGACACAGCCATGGAAGACGCCCACGCTGCCGTATTGGATCTCAACCATGCCCCTCCGAATCCTTCTTCAAACTCGACCGCTCCTGCAGAAACCTCTAAAGAGCGTACCAGGTTTTTTGCGGTATATGATGGCCATGGCGGTCAGTTTCATCATCACCACCATCAACCCCCGAATATACCGCGGCCCCTGACACCCCCCCCTCCCCCATCCAACTGTTTACTCTCACAAAACCTGCCATCTTGCAGGCGCGGCAGTTGCCAAATTTTCCGGTGATACCGTCCATTTCAGGCTACGCTCTACGCCTGAATACCAGCGGGGAGATTACGAGGCTGCCCTCAAACGAGCCTTTCTGGCCACGGACGAGGATCTACGTGGCAGTCAGTCTTCTTCCTAGCTCTTCGTTATTTGGTTGCTTGTCGAAGATTAATTCTATTTCCCTGCTCGGTTAGATCCGGATTTTGTGAATGATCCGTCCGGGTGTACCGCTGTCGCGGCGCTAATCACGCCTGATGGGAAAATCCTGGTGGTTAGTAACCCATCCTTTTGCCCGATTTAACTCGCCCGTTCGACTTGCATCAACTAATGTATTTCATCTTCTCAAAAACTCTTCCACATCACTCGCCAGGCCAATGCTGGAGATTCACGATCGGTCCTGTGTATGAACGGTGTTGCAGAGCCCATGTCGCACGACCATAAGCCCGTCAATCGTGGCGAGAATAATCGTATCGTTGCTGCTGGTGGATTTGTTGAATTCGGTCGGGTCAACGGTCAGCCTACTCAGCCCCCCTCATTGCAAACTGTCCATACCCAGTCTCTAACTTTTCTTATGATATATTATGATTTGCGTCATTTGCACTTCGAATTAACAGGTAATCTGGCTCTCTCTAGGGCTATCGGAGACTTTGAATTCAAGCAGAACAGGGACTTGTCCCCCGAAGCCCAGGTGGTCACTGCCAACCCTGACATATTGACTCATCAAATTACAGCAGAGGATGAATTTTTAATACTGGCGTGTGATGGTTCGTCTGCTTACCCTTCCTACCACGCCTTGCCCCACATGGCTCGACGAGCATTAGAGTTGATTTTTCTCTGGTACTTGTGATTTTGATTTCAATCTTGATAGGTATCTGGGATGTCTATTCTAACCAACAAGTGGTTGATCGTGTCCGACGACTACTCGGAGAACGCAAAACGCTAGAGCAAGTCGCAGAGCAGATGATTGATTACTGTCTCGCTCCGGATTGCGAATGGGGCGGAGTAGGATGTGACAACATGACGTTCATGATCGTGGCAATCTTGGGCGGAAAGACAAAGGATGAATGGTATGACATGATTAGCGAACGACTGCAATGCGGAGAAGGCTACCAGACGCCCAGCACTTTCCCCCAGCCTTACACCCGGGGAGCGCGGGGGGAGATGCTGACAAACAACGCGAACCAAGGCGCTTTAACTAACGGTGAGGATGGACCGACCCCGCCGAGTTATGCGAGTTCAGAAAATCGAGCCGGGGGCGGCTCTGCTGCTGCTAGTGCGCCTTCCGTTGGCAGTCTATTTTCTCTTGCACCTGTCAGTATCATTGAGGCTCTCAGTCGAGTCAGCAATGTCAATAGCTACGATCCTACCTCTCATTCTGATGAACCTACCTCTGATTCTTCTGATCCTACAAACGCCAATAAGACTGAATCCAATACCACTCCCGCCCCAGACTCTTCCACCATAGACTCTACTACGTTATCGCATTCTGATGATCCTTCCAAATCGTCATCCGATGCTTGACTAATGTAATAATAATCATAAACTGTAATCCAGAAAAACCAAACAAAAGCACTAAAAATTCATTCATTTCATCCTTTCAATTCACTCCCACTCCCCCGCTCTCCTGAGCTTTCTCAGCTCGTTGTTCATGAACAAAAAAAACAATAAACTGAACGCCATGGGGGAACGATTTTTGTATATTTGGATCGGAATCATAAGTCACCGGAACAAATACAAAATAAAAATTTGGGTACATCAGGCGGACTCAATTGTGATACATAGAATTTCTCCATACTTCCCATACCGCTATGGGAAGTATGGAGAAGTCTTCCCCCGCCGCCCCCCTCCCCCTTCCCTTCCCCCT